AAAAAACCGTACGCGCACATCCAACATCTTCAGCTTGCAGATCCGGACTACAATATATCAAGGCCGGTTGATATTCTATTGGATGCAAAAGTCTACGCAGAAATCATTATGGATGGGCTGTTAAAGAGTTCACCCGATCAACCAATAGCACAACAGACGCAGATGGGCTGGATTTTGTCTGGTTCAATAACAAAATCATTCAACTGTCATGTGGTGATCAATAACATCGAAGATATCAGCAATTATTGGGAGTTGGAGGATATCACAGAGACAAAACGACAGTTAACTAAAGATGAACAATTCTGCGAAGACTACTACACCAAAACGACACGTCGCTTAACAAATGGGACATATGAAGTGAGATTGCCTATGAAAGAAGGCTTTGAAAAGCAATTAGGCCAATCGAAGCCTACGGCCGTTGCACAATACATGCAATTAGAGCGCAAGCTAGCGAAGAACCCACAGCTAAGCGAAAGGTATCATGCATTTATGAAGGAATACGATGCCATGCACCATATGAAAATCTGTACAGATAAAAGAAGTACAGAATGCTATCTTCCACACCACGGAGTGTTAAAAGAAGATTCTACCACCACAAAATTACGAACCGTTTTTAATGCATCGCAACTAACATCGTCTGGCTATAGCTTAAATGATTTGATGGAGTGCGGTCCTAAGTTGCAATCCGATCTGCAGCTATTGTTATTGAGTTGGCGAGGTTACAAATATGTTTACACAGCGGACTGCGAAAAGATGTACCGTATGATTTGGCTCCATGAGGAGGACCAACACCTGCAAAAGATCATCTGGAGAGATCAACACAATATCCTCAGAGAATATCAACTTTGCACTGTAACATATGGTATGAAAGCGGCCCCTTTTCTCGCTATTCGAACATTGCAACAATTGGCAAACGATGACGCATCATTGTATCCGTTAGCAGCTGACGTTCTGAAAAATAAATTTTATGTGGATGATCTTTTACATGGCAACAACAGCATAGAAGAGGCAAAGCAAGTCTAACAACAGCTCATCAACATGCTACGCGGAGCTGGTTTCAATTTGAGAAAGTGGTCCAGCAATGAACCGAGCCTCCTTGCTGATTTAACTCAAGATCAAATCAGTAACAAGAGTGTCAACTTCAACGAATCTACATCAACAAAAGCTCTAGGCCTGCATTGGCACCCCTCAACTGATGTTTTTGCATTTGAGAGCAAAATCAATCACATTGCAAAGCAAGACACCAAGCGTACAATGCTGTCGGACATTTCAAAGTTATTTGACCCGCTTGGCTGGCTTGCTCCAATTACAATAAAGGCGAAAATAATGTTTCAACGACTATGGGCCAATAATACACACTGGGACGAACAATTGTCTCGTGATATGCAACACGAATGGAATCAATTGCGCGAAGATCTGAAAAACATCAATTCAATAAGAATTCCAAGATGGATTGGTGACCTTGAAAAGGGTCGGCAACTTCATGGGTTTTCAGATGCATCTGAGAAAGCATATGCTGCTTGTGTTTATGCAAAAACATTTGACGAGAACGGAAAACCAATAGTCCGTCTCATTGCAGCGAAAACAAAATTGGCACCACAAAAAACAAAAGCCACACTCCCACGTTTAGAATTGTGTGGTGCTGTCTTGTTATCAAAATTGATGAACAAAATTATTGATTCATTGCAGACACGTGACAACATACAAATACATGGGTGGACTGACTCAATGGTGGTATTGGGGTGGATACATGGTGACACTGCAAAGTGGAAGACATACGTTGCAAATAGAGTGAACGAGATTAAGAAAATTATGCCGCCAACATGTTGGAGTTACGTCAAATCAGACCTGAATCCCGCCGACTGTGCCACGCGTGGACTGACACCGACCCAGCTGAAGTGCCACCATCTCTGGTGGGAGGGACCGCCGTCGCTTATTGAGAACCTACAACCATCTCAATGCACATATGAACCGCCAGAGGTTGAAATTAAAGTGAAGAAACATATCTGCACGGTACAAATTAAAACTTCACCCCTTATAAGTGAACTTATAAATAAATGCAGTTCACTGTCTCGGGCGGTGCGCGTCATATGTTGGGTGTCGCGTTTCATAACAAATGCACGAGGTCGATCGGATAACAATGGACTTACAAACGCGTCCTTTCTAACAGCGATGGAAATTGGAAATGCTACGAAGATCATAATTAAATCAGTGCAAGCGGAGATGTTCTCAAAAGAAATTGAAAACATAAGAGACAAAGGGCATGTCTCTCGGAAAAGTTACATTGCAAATTTGAATCCCTTTTTGGATACAGAGGGCATCCTGCGAATGAAAGGAAGATTACAGAGATCAAATCTCGACAATGATACAAAGCAGCCGATTATAATTCCATATCATGCAAGATTCACGGAATTACTTATTGCAGAAGCGCACCAAACTACATTGCACGGTGGTGTTAAACTTACCCTAGCGCATGTCCGGAACAAGTATTGGATTATAAGCGGGAATCGGGCTGTAAAGAAAGTACTGCGTCAATGTACTAAATGCATACGTTTCAGTGCACAGAAACAAGAACAGCTGATGGGAGATTTGCCGTCACCACGAGTACGCATTTCACGTCCTTTTACACATACCGGCGTAGATTTCACCGGCCACGTTGACGTCAAAGCCAATAAAGGACGTGGGATTAAAACAACCAAAGGCTACATTGCAGTGTTTATATGTCTAACGATAAAGGCTATTCACCTCGAACTCGTGTCCGATCTCAGCACCTCAGCATTTTTAGCCGCATTTAAAAGAATGTGTGCCAGGCGCGGCACGCCACAACACATGTATAGTGACAACGGCACCAACTTCGTCGGTGCCGCCCGGGTGCTCGCGACAGAATACAAACAAGCTTTGCAAGTTATCAACACGGACTTCCTGGATCACGTCAACAAACTTGGGGTCAATTGGCACTTCAACGTACCTACCTGGAGCAGTGCTGGTGGACTCTGGGAAGCAGCTGTGAAGAGTTTAAAACATCACTTGAAGCGTGTAATAGGCGATCAAAAATTGACCTTCGAGGAATATTCGACATTACTTGCACAAATTGAAGCGTGCCTTAACTCTAGACCTCTCTGTTCATTGACCGAGGATCCAGAAGACATGCATTATTTGTCACCTGGTCACTTTCTAGTTGGTGGTCCTCTTTTATCAGAGCCACTCTCTGACATCAATATCGACAATATCAAAACCAGGTGGCAGATGACTCAGAAGATGTACAAGGAGTTTTGGAAGAAGTGGTCATCCGATTATCTTCACACATTGCAGACAAGATGTAAGTGGCATCTACCGACGAAGAACATTGAAATTGACAGCGTAGTATTGGTGAAAGACGATAACCTGCCGCCCTCGAAATGGGCCCTTGCAAAGGTTGTTGACGTTCACCCTGGAAAGGACGGCTACGTACGAGCAGTTACCGTCAAAACACAAACGGCAGTTTTCAAACGCCCGGTTGTCAAACTGTGCCCATTACCAGTGCATCCTGACAAAGAAAACCCTCATTCAGCAGTTCCAGCAACCACTACAGAAACAACAACCCCTGCAAGACGCATAAGAAACAAGCCAAACATTTTCATCTCTGCATTGACTCTTATGATTTTCGCATTAATCGCACCATCCATGCAACAAACACACAAAATAACGACATTAAACGGAAACAAGGCGTTATATTTCGATCGACTTGCAGATTTGCAATTAATAAAAAACAACTGGAAGTTAATCGTGTATCACAATATGTCGACCTACTGGAAGAGTGTGGAAAATGTTGAAAATTATTTGCATCACCTAGAGAACATTTGCAACGGAGAAAGTACTTGCACACTTACTTTAACTCAATTTAGGCACGAATTGAATGAATTGGAGCATTACAACAGTATTCTTAAACTACAGCCTCAGTCTAGACCCAAGCGAGGACTCATAAACGGAATCGGAACTGTGTCACATTATTTATTTGGAATTCTAGACGACGATTTTGCACAGAAATATGAAAAGGACATAAATAGAGTCCATCAAAACGAAGACTATTTGCAAAGTTTGTTAAAAAATCAAACTTCAATATTGGAATCGCAAAATAACATTTTACAGCGGAACGAGGTCATTATGAATAAACAATTCCAAATAATTGATGAACAATTGAAAAATATCTCCAACGAAGTGCACGAGGCGCATCAAAATGCAATCCACCTATTTTATTTCACTGCAAATGCCGTTGCACTTGACGTCATACTTTCAAACTTGAGGCGGATCCAAGAAACTGTCATTAATACGGTAACAAACATTTACCATGGAAGATTAGACATTCATCTTCTGGCTCCAGAACAGCTGCAGAATCAGTTAAACATTATCTCTAGACAAGTACAAGGACAACATCTAGCCCCTGTGGACGCAAACAACATTAAGGAGGTATCCAAGATTTTACGCGTTAAGGCAAGAGTGACGGAACAATACGTCATAATCGAAGTGAAAATACCATTACTCGGAACAGACAGCTATGAACTTAACAAGGTCATACCCATACATCAACATAGAAAAAACAGATATGTTCACATCACTCCAGCCTCAGAGTACATTGCATTTAATTTAAGAAAAGATACCTTTATGTCGCTTACTGAATTGGATTTACAAAATTGCATCAAATACAACGAACAGAAACTTCTATGTCCGTTAAGCAGCCCCCTATACGAACTAAGGGTAGATCAATCAATATGTGATGTCAAAATAATGAATGATAATAGCAAAGAAACTTATTGTCGGAGCGAAATAAAGGATTGCGCCGACAGGTGGATGAAATTACAAACCCGAGATACATGGTTGTTTACATGTTGTGAAGAATGCAAAGTTCGCATTTTGTGTCCCTCGGGAGTGGCGACTGCATGTCTACAATACAATGGCCTTATCAATATAGGTCAAGATTGTGTTTTGAAAGGTGACACCTTTACCATTCAGGGACATCATGACTACATTAGTCAACTCTATACTGACGACTACAACACAGGAGAAATATTTCCAAATTCAACCCTAAACACATTGGTCAATTCTTCAATAGCACGTATACCATTTGTTGTCGAAAGCCATAACATTACCCTTTGGAAATTAAAACAGCAAATTCAAGAATTACAACAACAAAAGGAAATTATAAGCAACGACGACATTCATCACTATACGATGATCTACATTGTATTCTCCGTAGTCATTGTAGCTATTGCAATTGGAACGACTTGGCTGTGCAAACGAAAGTCGCGGGAGGATCCCCGAGGAAACTTGCAACAGCAGCAGCTTCCCACAATCGTTGTCAGCGCGCCGCCGCCGCGGTCTAACGAACCTGGATCAGCGGATAAGACCACTTCTCCATTGGCAAAACACAGAACCATCCACTTCAAGACGATACGTGGAGAAACTGTCTAATTTAATTTTACATGTTTTATTTTATATTAACCTCCTTTTACTTAGGTACTTTCTTTAATTTATTTTAATATTTTTTACTTTTAGAGTAGCACTTTGCATCTTTTTGCTCTTGCATTTTGTCCTTTTAGAGTAGGCAGTATGTACGAGTGAAACCGTACATTTTTATGATTTACATTTTATTATTTTAATATGCACAAGTAAACCCGCACGATATCATATGTATTCGATTTATGCTTACTGCAACACCACGCTGATCGATGTATATTTTGCAATAAATGAGTGTTATTATTGTCTCGTTCGGACACGGTCGTTTTATTTACATTATTTAATAATACTCCAATCATTTGCATTGCAATTTGCATCTCTCTATCTCCTTGCATCGTCCTACTTGCATTTACATACATCCTGCAGTGCAACGTGTGTTAACGGCACATAATTTGGTCCTTCGAGCCTTTTTTACTTGGTGTTTTTGGAAGTTGAAGTGCGATAGCGAATCGGTTTGACTGGCCTCCCAGAAGCGGGTCTCACCAGTTAAATTGAGAAGGCGCATATATCGTGCAGAGATATCCGGGACACTAAGTACAAGATACCAGTACGAAGTTTTTGCATATATTTTACAGTGACTTTATTGCATTATTGTTTATACTTGGACAATGTCTTCGGCCAAGAATGAGTTACTTGAACTCCAATCTATGCTCATTCTCGAGCTTGAAAGGCTGCATAGCAATTTTACAAAAGATCCTAAGATAAGAAAAACTGAAGATTACATTAAGAAGAGATTAGAGACGTTAGATGGAGTTTGGGAAAAATTTAAAGACAACAACACAATATTGGAAACAGAAAAAGATAGGACTCATGAATATTTCACAAAGGATGTGTTTGCGGCATATCAAGATTATTATAAAAGGACTCGTGATATGATAATGGAATATGGGAAACCGAACGGAAGAAACAAGCAAGACGAAAAAATTCAAGTAGACCTGGAAAAAGTTCAAGACTATTTAAGTTTGCAGAGAACAAACTTCAGAGCGTTTTGTAGAGTCGCAGACAATATTGATATTGACTCTATCCATGAGAAATGGGAGTTGGAATACGAGCTGAAAAATTTACAAATTCGCTGGAACAACATTGAAGATTTACATTTGAAAATTGACAACATTCTAGACGGAGCTGATGCGGAATACCAAGATCAATATATAGAACTGGAAACCTTATTCAGATCTATGAATAAAGCCTTAAATAAGAAGCTGTCTTCTACCGTTCATTTGCATCTTTCTACCCCCAAAATTGATATTCCTACCTTTTCTGGCAATTATACTCAGTGGAATACATTTTTAGATCTATTCAAGGAAGCAGTGCATAACAATCCCGCTTTGAACAAAGTACAAAAAATGCAACATCTCAAAGGCAAGCTAAGGGGCGAAGCGGAGCGGCTCATACAACATTTGCATATTTCATCTGATAATTATGACTCTGCCTGGAAGATATTAAATCATCGGTACGATAACCGTCAAGTACTTTTCACCAAACAGATGGAAACCCTACTCAATCAACCTAACGTTCAAAAACAAACTTCCATGGAACTGAGACGACTTCATGACACTTCTATGGAGTGCATACATGGTATATACAACATGGGTATCGACACTTCGTCTTGGGATCCAGTATTTGTGCACTTAATTGCAAAGAAATTAGACACCGTGACGTTCAGCGATTATATGGAGGCAAGAAAATCACCACGCGATGTACCAGACTTGGACGAATTCATGGAATTTTTGGAAGCCAAATTTATTGCATTGGAGCCGATGAATAAAAAGGAAAAGGAATCGGTACCAACATGTTCGTTCAAGACAAATTTTGCACCGAAGTTCAAGCAAACCTACAATTCTAACAAACCTGCATTTGAGAAGCGAAATACTTCGTACAATAAAACATTTCATGTTTACTCCAAACCTGCAATTACATGTCCTATTTGCAATAAAAATCATGGACTATATCAATGCAAAATATTTGAGAATATGACACCGGACGCAAAACTTCAAGCCATTTCAAAATCAAACATTTGTAAAAATTGTTTGTATGTGCATAAATATGGTTGCAATTCCGAGAAACGCTGCAAAGACTGCAATATGCCACATAATACTTTATTACATGAGGCAATTACTGCAATGAATAAGGGAGCATCGACCTCGAACAAACAAAATTCACTGCAGAACGTGCACGCTAATCACGTGGCCGGTGATGATGACGAAATATTACTTGCAACAATTCAAATGCAATTACGAGCCGCGGATGGTACTTACACCACCATGCGCGCACTTCTCGACCAAGGTTCGCAAACAACCCTCATAACAGAGAATGCAGCACAACTACTAGGGTTGAAACGACATAGCATACATGCATCTGTATCTGGTATAGGTACCTCCCCTAACAAGTGCAAAGGAAAAGTCGAACTGCATTGCAAATCACTCTTCAACAACTATGAATTCACCACTGAAGCATTAGTAATGACAAAGGTCATTAACCGTTTGCCAAGTATGACTTTTAAGAAAAAA